TTTGAGGCTCAGACCATGTAGCCACAAAGTGCATTTTAAAGAAGTCTTGTGGCATGATTTGCCCAAAGGCTCCCAAATATTGATGCATATTATAATCACCTGGAAGGCTTGTTTGAGAACATACAGATTTCTGATATTCACAGCAGACTTTCTAAATCAAAATCTCTGGGGTGGGGCCCAAGAACCACTTTTAACAAGCTACCTTGGTGATTCTTATATATTTGTTGGCAATATGCAGGATAGATAGACACGGGTAAGTCTTGAAGTCAGAAGATAAGTTAGAGATTATGGAAATACTCCAGGAAGTAGAGGAAGAGGGCCTAGAGAGTGGCTGGAGCCCAAAGAAGAGAAAGACGAGAAAATAAAGTGTGTTGTAAGGATATAGTTGGTAGGATTTGGCAGCTTAATGTTGATTGACATAAGTCACTCAGGGTCTTTGAAAAAAAGGTTAATAATTTGGAAGGATCCGGTACTTCCTTTTCTATGTATTCTCCTATACTTAAAAGGAACTCTATCCAGAAGAGAGTTATACTGCTGAGCAACAGGTTACAAAGTAGTTGACCCTTGAACAATGCAAGGGTTAGGGGTGCCGACCCTCAGGGCAGTTGAAAATCTATGTGTAACTTTTGACTCCGCAAACACTTTTGCTAATAGCCTACTGTTAATTGGATGCCTTATCTACAATATACACAGTCTGTTAACACCTCTTTTGTATATATGTTATATACTGAATTCTTAAAGTAAAGTAGAGAAAATAAAATGTTATTAATAAAATCATAAGGGAGAGAAAATACATTTACAGTACTCTACCGATGCCATAGGTTTATGCTGTTTACAAGATGAATCATCAGTCTGTATCTACATCAATATTGTCTTATATAATACAAAACACCTGTAGATGTTGTACATATTACTAACACTAGACATTAAAAATGAGAAGATAATGTGAAAAAGAAATCCATGTTTATTTACAGGTGTAATGATTCATGCATTGATAATGAAGCAGCAGCAAAATGATTGCTTTATGGTAGCTTAGCGTAATCAATACAAATGCTTTACAGTGGCCTAGCCTATATACTAATGAAGCAACATAAAATTTTTATGGCATATGGTGTTACAGTCATATTCATAGTACAGCATTGGAAACACTTACATTAAAGAAAAACACCTGTGATAATAGGCTGATATCCAGTTTCTCCAATTACAAGAGATAGAGGCATACTGTATGGTAATGAAATTCTTTGAAAGCAAAGTTATAAAACAGTAAGAAGATTAAGACATTATTAATTTAATATTAAATATCACTCACCTTATGCCTATGTAAGGATAGATGAGAATCTACATAATTTTATGCATTCATGACATACCTAAATTTCTCTTAATTTTTTTCAATATTCCTAGGCTACAGTTTGAAAGTTTTTTTTAATTGTTGCAAGTTTCCAAAAATGTTTCCAATATATTTACTGGAAAAAAATCTACATATAAATGGTCCCGTGCAATTCAAACCCGTGTTGTTGAAGTGTCAACTATATTTTCAGTCCAAGGGCCACATAAGGAAATGAACAGTAGATGGCACTTTTGCGCTGTGCCTGAATCTTCAACCTTTGAAGGGAACTCAGAATGACTCCTGCTAAAATAAACCCTTCATAGTGCTCAAGTGGATAAATTCAATTTCTAGTTTGAGGAGGACCTGGAAAAGGAGGGCTAATTAAAGAATCAGTTTTTAAATGTTGTGGCTCTCATCTAGATGAATAAATCTGCAACTTGAAGAGGTCCCCAGTAATTACTGTAGCAAGTAGAATTACATGAATTCAAGCAGGCTTGGGGTTAGAAAAAAAACAATCCCAACTTGGGCCACGTTTCCAAATGTCAACCTTTGGGCTTTAGCTGTTTGCAAAGGTTAGGAATAGCAAAAAGGGATAAAATAAAATATGGAAAAGAATCATAGAAGGTGCAGTTTGGAGTAATAAATGAGGACAGTGAAATGGAAATAAAGAAGATATCATATTTTATTTTTCTTTTTGTAATACTTACTGGTAAAATATTGGGTAGGATACAGAATTTTACATATTTACAATACAGTTGCAACCTCCAAAAAAGCATCATGACTTAGTGATTAAGAAAGTGGAGTCTGAAAGGACCCACTATAATCTAAAGCTCTAAAACAACAACAACAACAAACTAAAACAAAATAAAATCTAAAGCTCTGCCACTTCCTACCTGTGTACCTGTGACTAAGCAATGTAATGTCTCTGTGTCAGTTTCCTCATCTGTAAAATGGAAGTGGTAATATTTTCTCTCTATAATGTGCAATAGGATTAATACAATTAACACTGCTGTGTGTTATATATTAAAGTTATGAACGTAAACCCTGAGAGCTCTCATCATGAGGAAAAAATTTATTTTATTTTATTTGTATCTGTATGAGATGATGGATGTTCACTAAACTTACTGTGGTAATCATTTCATGATACATGAAAGTCAAATCATTATGCTGCACACCTTAGACTTATACAGTGCTATAAGTCAATAATATCTCAACAAAACTGGAAAAATAAAAAAATAATATTATCTGTCTTATAAAATTCTTACGAGAATTGTGTCAAAATTTGTAAGATGCTTAGAAAAGTAGCTGGCATGTGGTGAGCCTATCACAGGTAGGCAATAAATTTTTTAAAAGTCAGCTTTTAGGTGATGGGACAATAGGTGATTTTTTTCTTGAATTCAATTAAAAACATCTATTTTTTGATAATCGGAAAAAAGCTTAAAAATTTTTTTACTCAAAGACTTAGAGAAAAATCCATACTTAAAATTTCTCTTTTCTTTTGAGGTAGTTTCTACATCTCCAACTTTTTCTTTTTCTTTTAATCTGCTGTACCCAATGTTAGACATATCTTGGCTTTGAAAATCTTGAAGTCCTCAGAGTTTCCAGAATTATTATTTATTTTATTATTATTTTATTATAGTCAGACATATATAAATTTTACCATTCTAACTATTTGAAGTGTACAATTCACTGGCATTAAATATATTCACAATGTTTTGCAACAATCACTGCTATCTGTTTCCAGAACTTCATCATCTCACACAGAAACTGCATCCATTAAACAATAACTCTCCCTTCTTCTTTATCTCCATCCCCTGGTAACCTCTGTTCCACTCTCTGTGTTTATGAATCCACCTATTTGAGGTACCCTATATAAGTGGAATCATACGATGTATATTCCTCTATGTCTGGCTTATTCACCTAGCATTATGTTTTAAGTTTCATCCATGTTGTAGCATGTATCAGAGTTTCATTCCTTTTTATGACTGAATAACAGTTCATTGTATGTATCACATTTTTAAATGGATTCATCTATTAGATATGTGAATTGTGTCCTCTTACTGGTTTTTGTGAATAATGCTGCTATGAATATTGATCTACAAGTGTTTGTTCTACTCCCTACTTTTATACTTTGGGATATATACCTAGGAGTTCACTTTTTGAGGAACTGCTGAACTGTTTCCCCAGTGCTACATCACTTTGCATTCCCACCAGCATCCAGCATTACTTCTAAATATATCAGACTTCTTTTTTTTTTAAGTCAAACCTAGACTGGGAATAAGTAGCAAAGAAAACTGCCACAGTTGGCTAAGTTGTTGATATCAACACTTTTGACACATCACCTCCTAGATTAGAGCAATGTTTCTCAAAGTACACAGCTGAGACTCCCATGGCAAATATCTAAGGGGCTTGTTATGTCTGTGGACCCTCGATCCCACCCCAGATGTGTTGAATCAGCATCTTTGGGAATGAGGTCGCCTAAATCATCATTATGCTTGATAAAATGTGAGACTCAGAAATCTAGATTGTTAAGTTCTCGAAGACAGGGGAAAATATCTCAGTCACCTTTGTATCCCTTGGAGCTAAATATACAGGAGATATTCAACAAACATACACTTGAACTAATACTGCAGTCTAAAGCTATTTCCTTTTTGCTTAATTGCTATGTACAGGATTCATTAAAACTAAATTCTATCGCTACACAGCTAGTAAGAGAACCTGTAATTTCAGTGTGTAGTACACCTTTCATTTGCATAGAACCGGTATCTTACCAGCTGTGGTCTATTATTGCTATCTTGTGCTGCCAGGAATCTTAATTCTAGGTATCATTTTCAGCTGAGTCCTTCATGCTTTGAGGCAGGGTGAAAAAAGGATATGGACTTGTAACTGGAAGAGCTGTCTATGTGTGATCTTTGATAATTATATGTAAAATATCTAAGAATGAAGTTTATAATTTGTAGACATTGGTAACATTTTGTAACTATATTAACCTCATAGTTGGTGAAGCTCAAACGGTATTATGTGTAAGAAAGCCTACTGTAGAAATGGCTATAGTTACTATATAGCCTAATCTTTAAACAAACAAAATACATGTTTCTAAGTTTTCCTAAAGACGTTAAATATGTTGCTGTATCAATTTGCTGCTCTAAAGCATACGCAAATGAGCAGGTTAGAGTAGAAACGCACAGCAGAAAAACATTAAGTGGATGCACAACATCCATTCATTCGTTCATCACATTTATCCGGCATCTATATGCATATGACGCCGGGCATTGTGTGAAAAATAGTGATTAAATGCATTCAAACCTACCCTCCAGAGGTTTAGTTCCTTTGCGTGTATTATTAAATAGCAAGCTTCCCCACTTCATATCAAAGCTCTTTCCCAGGTCATAACAAGCTGTCTGGGACCCGCTTGAAATTCGCGCGCCCTGTCTCTTTAACGCATAATAGAACTCTGATTGCATCGATCACAGATTCGGTACCTTCTCCCACATCGGTCTCTTTTCTATTCCGGTTACTACTCCCTTTCTGGGTGTCAAGCGGCGTGGGTGGGGGTCGCAGTAAAAGTTGCTTTGGTGTGTGGAGGCACCTGACTCCGGGGCGTCCCGCATGCCAGCTGCGGCGCCGGCGGAGCCTCGGGGCTCGGCTGGCCATGCCTGGAGCACGGGGTTTGACTGGGCCGCCGTTGTTGTAGTGACCGGGAGGTGCTGCCGCTCCAGGCGGACGGTTCCGGGCACCGCACGGTCCCCACTCCTACCCCGGCCCCTCCCTTCCCCCGGATCCCCCCACCGGCAGGAGCTGGGAGCCGACTGCTCCCCTCATGGCCTCCGCCCCGGTAAGGACGGGATGGGGGACTCCTCCCCGGAGCCGGTCCGGTGGGCTGGGGGGCCAGGTCGGTGCCGCGCCCGCACCTGGCGGGAGATGGAGGCAGGTGTCCCCAGCCGGGCCCTGAGCCGCTAGCTCCTTGCTCCTCGCCCCGGGGCGCCCGCGACTCAT